TGGTGGGTGGTGGGTGGTGGCGGGTGGCGACTGGTGGTGGGTGGTGGCGGGTGGTGGCTGGTGGTGGGTGGTGGCGGGTAGCGGCTGGTGGCGGGTGGCGGCTGGTGGTGGGTGGCGGCTGGTGGTGGGTGGTGGTGGTGGCGAGTGGCGGCTGGTGGTGGGTGGTGGCGGCTGGTGGTGGGTGGCGGCTGGTGGTGGGTGGCGGCTGGTGGTGGGTGGCGGCTGGTGGTGGATGTTGGGTGGTGGCGGGTGGCGGCTGGTGGTGGGTGGTGGGTGGTGGCGGGTGGCGGCTGTTGGTGGGTGGTGGCGGATGGCGGCTAGTGGTGGGTGGTGGTGGGTGGCGGCTGGTGGTGGGTGGTGGCGGGTTGCGGCTGGTGGTGGGTGGTGGCGGGTGGCGGCTGGTGGTGGGTTGTGGCGGGAGGCGGCTGGTGGTGGGTGGTGGTGGGTGGCGGCTGGTGGTGGGTGGTGGCGGCAGGAGGTGGGTGGTGGCGGGTGGCGGCTGGTGGTGGTTGGTGGCGGGTGGTGGTGGGTGGTGGCGGGTGGTGGCGGCTAGTGGCGGCTGGTGGTGGGTGGTGGCTGCTGGTGGTGGTTGGTGGCGGGTGGCAGCTGGTGGTGGGTGGTGGTGGGTGGTGTCGGCGGGTGGCGGCTGGTGGCGGCCAGCTGGGACACACCCTTCACCACTGAAGGTCTGAGCACAACTAATCATATGTCTCTCTTACCACCAGCCCAGTGTTGCCAGCCCACGCTCTCAAAATGTTTCCTTCAAAGATTGTATATTATCTCTGAACAACAAGTTTGATTATCAAGGAAATAATGCATATATTATTGTCACATTAATACTGTGCAATATCTTATTACATTCCTGCTAAATAATTATAATTTGAAACAGGACAAAAAATCAAACATATATATATAAAAACCAACATTAGAGATTACGAGGCCTAGGCCTATCTGTGACCACACATCCTGCTTCCCTGGCCTGCTACCCTCTCACACCTCACGCTCTTAACTCACTCTCACTCTCAATCACTCTTATGCACTATTACTCACTCTTACTCTCAGTCATCCTTACTCACTCTTACCCACTCTTACTCACTCTCATACTCACTCTTACTCTCACTCTCAGTCACTCTTACTCTGTCACTCTTACTCTCAGTCACCCTTACCCATTCATACTCACTCTCTCACTCTTACTCTCATACTCTTACTCTCAATCACTCTTACTCGCACTCACTCTCAATTACTCTTACTCTCAATCACTCTTACTCCCAATCACTCTTACTCTCAATTACTCTTACTCCCAATCACTCTCAATTACTCTTACTCTCAATCACTCTTACTCTCATTCTTACTCTTACTCTCATTCTTACTCTTACTTACTCTCACTCTTACTCCCAATCACTCTTACTCACTCTCACTCTTACTCTTAACCCAAACACTCTTACTCTCATTCTTACTCTTATTCACTCTTACTCTCACTCTTACTCCTAATCACTCTAACTCTCAATCACTCTTACTCTCACTCTAACTCTCAATCACTCTTACTCTCACTCTAACTCTCAATCGCTCTTACTCTCACTCTCAACCACTCTTACTCTCACTCTAACTCTCAATCACTCTTACTCTCACTAACTCTTACTCTAACTCTCAATCACTCTTACTCTCATTCTCAATCACTCTTACTCTCATACTCACCCTTACTCACTCTATCACTCTTCCTTTTACTCACTCTCACTCACTCTTACTCACACTTACACACTCTCTGGCTCTCTCACTCACCTTCAGTCACTCTTACTCTGTCACTCTTACCCACTCTCGCTCACTCTTACTCACTCTAGTTAATAAGAACACGCCAATATAAGACAACAAAACGTTTTCAGATTCTTTCACACCACTTTCCAGCAACTTTTATAATTTATATAAATTATCTTAGGGAATAATACATAAATTATATATTTAAACATGATATTAGTGTTTAGGGGAATGCATAAGGAGTCAAATTGTGTTAAAAACAACGATTTTTAGAAAATTTGGAAAACTACTTTTTTCTGATCATATTATAACTAAATGGATTTTGAACGTTTCACTGAGCCAATAAATATCATTCACAATTTATTAATGAATTTGACAAAAAACACCATAAATTTCATATTTAAACATGTAAAAACTATTTGTAATACATTAGGAACAAAATAGTTGTAGAAAAACCATTTATTATAAAACGTTTGTGGTTGGATTTTTTTATTAAAAGTTTCTCAAAGGCTCTCCTGCACCATTCTCAATGCAAATTATTCCCACACCTATGGGAAGAGATAGACGAACGTTTTCTAGATAATTTGTGTTTGCTGGGAAGAAGTTGTTAAACACATATGGCAAAATCTTACTGAAGCGACCATACGAGTCATAAATACTCATACTCCGCCCAAGTAAAACAGAAACAAGCAACACTTAGTGGGCCAGCCAGAGGCTTAGGGCTCGCGTAGGATTATCCCTGCAAAAAAAAAAAAAAAGTATATAAAAACGTGCTCGGATCTGAACGGAACGTTGTGTGAAAATTACAAAGAATATCAGTTAAAGAACTGACATCTCCATTTATATATATATATATATATATATATATATATATAATATATATATATATATATATATATATATATATATATATATATATATATATATATATATATATATATATATATATATATATATATATATATATATATATATATATATATATATATATATATATATATATATATATATATATATATATATATATATATATATATATATATATATATATATATATATATATATATATATATATATATATGCAACAATGATCACAAAAACACTGATCCAAGTATGCAGAATAACCACATATGAAAAATAGAAAATGCTTAACGCGTTTTCGGCTAATTCGCCTTCATCAGAGCAAAGTAGAATCATTCTACTTTGCTCTGATGAAGGCGAATTAGCCGAAAACGTGTTAAGCATTTTCTATTTTTCATATGTGGTTATTCTGCATATATATATATATATATATATATATGTCATACCTAGTAGCCAGAACGCACTTCTCAGCCTACTATGCAAGGCCCGATTTGCCTAATAAGCCAAGTTTTCATGAATTAATTGTTTTTTGACTACCTAACCTAACCTAACCTAACTTTTTCGGCTATCTAACCTAACCTAACCTATAAAGATAGGTTAGGTTAAGTTAGGTAGGGTTGGTTAGGTTCGGTCATATATCTACATTAATTTTAACTCCAATAAAAAAAAATTGTCCTCAAACATAATGTAATGGGTAGCTTTATCAATTCATAAGAAAAAAATTAGAGAAAATATATTAATTCAGGAAAACTTGGCTTATTAGGCAAATCGGGCCTTGCATAGTAGGCTGAGAAGTGCGTTCTGGCTACTAGGTACGACATATATATATATATATATATATATATATATATATATATATATATATATATATATATATATATATATATATATATATATATATATTAGTATATATATATAGTATACTAATATATATATATATATATATATATATATATATTAGTATATTTTGGTAGCAGTCTTTCCTGTAGACATATATTATTAAATATGACCGAAAAGTAAGATTAATAATTCTAACACGAATTTTCTCTATCTTTCTTACGTTTCTTTTCACTGTTGATGGTAATTCAAAGATCAATTCTGCAAAATTCATTTTTATTTCTAGTCTGACGCGACACTTGAGCGCGTTTCGTAAAACTTATTACATTTTCAAAGACTTTAGTTTACAAACACACAACTGAAACTGAATAGAGCTTACACATCTTCGAGGTTTATAGCTACATTTGGATGAGGTGAAAAACGAACTTTCAACAATGGGTATTCAATGGGTATTAAATTTCAACACAAGACAGAACATGAAACAATGGGTATTAAATCCAAACACAAGACAGAACACGAAACAATGGGTATTGAATGGAAGTAATTGTAGAAAGCCTATTGGTCCATATTTCTTGATGCTTCTATATTGGACGGGAGTCTTGAAGTGGGTAGAATATAGTTGTGCATTAATTGGCTGTTGATTGCTAGTGTTGACTTCTTGATGTGTAGTGCCTCGCAGACATCAAACCGCCTGCTATCGCTGTATCTATCGATGATTTCTGTATTGTTTGCTAAGATTTCTCTGGTGATGGTTTGTTTGTGGGAAGAGATTATATGTTCCTTAATGGAGCCCTGTTGCTTATGCATCGTTAAACCCCTGGAAAGAAATGTTGTTGTCTTGCCTATATACTGTTTTTTTTTGAGGTTTACAGTCCCCAAGAGGGCATTTGAAGGCATAGACGACGTTGGTCTCTTTTAAAGCGTTCTGTTTTGTGTCTGGAGAGTTTCTGATGAGTAGGCTGGCCGTTTTTCTGGTTTTATAGTAAATCGTCAGTTGTATCTTCTGATTTTTGTCTGTAGGGATAACGTTTCTACTGACAATATCTTTCAGGACCCTTTCCTCCGTTTTATGGGCTGCGGAAAAGAAGTTCCTGTAAAATAGTCTAATAGGGGGTATAGGTGTTGTGTTAGTTGTCTCTTCAGAGGTTGCATGGCGTTTCACTTTCCTTCTTATGATGTCTTCCACGAAACCATTGGAGAAGCCGTTGTTGACGAGGACCTGCCTTACCCTACAGAGTTCTTCGTCGACTTGCTTCCATTCTGAGCTGTGGCTGAGGGCACGGTCGACATAAGCGTTAACAACACTCCTCTTGTACCTGTCCGGGCAGTTACTGTTGGCATTCAGGCACATTCCTATGTTTGTTTCCTTAGTGTAGACTGCAGTGTGGAAAACTCCGCTCCTTTCCATGACTGTTACATCTAGAAAGGGGAGCTTCCCATCCTTCTCCATCTCGTAAGTGAAACGCAACACAGAATTCTGCTCAAATGCCTCCTTTAACTCCTGCAGATGTCTGACATCAGGTACCTGTGTAAAAATGCCTGGACCTAGATTCAGGAAGCTCTGTGTATTTCTTCGTAAGTGGGTTTGCTACGAAGGTTCCTAAGTGCGCCCTAAGAAGATGCTTAGGTGCGATTCAATAAGGTCCACTTAGGAAGATATTTAGGTTTTGGGTCTTGTTCACTTACGTGCCGACAGAGGTCACTACTGTGTTTCGTTTGGCCAATCAGAGTGACTGTTACATTTCTAACCTGACCAATCACGCTAATGCAATATCAGCTGTGTTATGTAAACATTGTGGTTCCTCGTGGTATTGTTGTCAGAAAAATCATCTGTTGCAAACTCTACCTACTATCAAGAAGAAGAAATGATCTGTGCATCCAGTCATGTGCCTGAAACAATCAAACACTATCTCCTTCACTGGTTTCGACATCGTAGTGCCAGAGTAAATAAAACAAAAAAAATAGCGCACTTAAAATAACCTTTACCATCGTGTATATTACTAGGTGACATCTCGTTACATGAAAATTATCCAATAATCAAAGCACTGGCTAAATATCTCCAGTGACCAACAAAGTGGCCACATTTGACCTGTGCCACATTCATAGTTGGCGCAACCAACAGGCAAACACACAAGACAAGTGTCTGGCCGCAGCACCAAGGATTTGCTGACGCCAGCTCAAAACCACCCCGTCCTACAGTGCGGCGTCTCCCTCTAACACGCCTCTGTTTATTCACTTTATCTACAGTACAAGACATCAAACACTTTTGAAACCTAGTCATTCTCAACATTAACGCGTCTCCCAACATTTGTACTCGTGCAGTCATCGAGAGAATAGACACTTCACGCAAACTACACCTACTATCAAGAACCAAAACAAACATACTACATCCTCTTAGTATTCATAAATAAATAAGAGAAAGAAAATGTCTGGGATAAAAAGGAAAGCAAACTTCAGTGAAGAGGAGCTGACAGTTCTCGTTGATGAGGTTAAGAGAGAACGCATAATTTTTGGGAAGCTATCAAGACAAGTCACTACCCAAGATAAACACTGTGCCTGGAGCCCAGTAGCTGTTGCTGTAAGTGGTGTTGGTCTCTGCTCAAGACAACAAGCCGATGTTCGCAAGAAATTTCAGGATCTTAAATCTTCAGTCAAGAAAAAATTGGCAGAAAATGCCCGGGAAATGAGAAAAACTGGTGAGTTAAGTAGATTTATGGTACGGTTAAGTAGATTTATGGTAAAAGGTCCACTCAGCTGTCAGGCACCTTTGAACACTTTACATTGAACAACTTTTTATTAGTTTACTAGATTTTGTATGACTATTTAAGTAATAATTAAGGCACAAAGATTATTTTTCTGCAGCATTATCCATAAGAAAGCATTGTTAGGATATCGGCGACTTTTCCAACATCATATATAATTATTTTGATATTTTACATGTAATCGTAGAATATCAAGTGAAATATTAATGTAATTGTACCTTTATGTTGTTTTTCCATGTAGCTTTTTCTTTATATAGGTGGTGGAGAATGTGACACTCAACCATTGACCAACTATGAAGAAAATTTGTCAACTTTACTAAGTTCCACATCAGTTGAAGGTATTGCTGGCATCAGTGATGCAGGACAGGATTATACCGTAGAAGGTACAATGTATTACTCTTTTTTTATGTCTAAAGATTTTGTGTCGAGGACTAAATGAAATTTGTTTAGGTTCAATTGGTATATAAAAATTAATGACAAAGTAAAATTTTATGAATCAAATTTATATTTGTTTATTAATCGCAAAAAATATATATTTATAGATCAAAGATTTGTATATTAAACAAATTAAGCATTTTGTAGAAGTGATACTTTTCACTACTTATGCAACTTGAGTTAAATTATCTTGGCAAACAGTTATATATAACCGTTAGGTAAAGTAATTACAAAATATAAATATTATTAACAGGATTTTGATTATATAAACTTTTCAACCCTAGTAAGCAACATTACTTTAGTATTTGTTAAGAGGACATCACAAATTAGATGGGGAAGGCCTACACATTAAAGTATAAAAAGTATAATTTCTTTCTTTTTATATATTGTAAAGTTGGGTTCATAGTAGACTTACAATATATAATTCGGGGTTCAAATCCCAGACATGACATTTACAATCAGCTTATGGCCCTGTTCACCTAGCAATATGCAGCTACTCAAGAGTTAGACAGCTTGTGGTGTGGTTGCATCCTGGACAGGGTCAGTAATTAATCCTCAAGCATGGACCTCGAGATACTGTAATAAGTTATAATAATTCATTGTGTTTGGGAACAGGAAGCCAGAGTGTAATCATACATGTTAGGCTTATATTGAAGTCCCTCAAATTAGCCAAATTTATCATAATCCACTGAATGTATTCACACAAATTCACTTATATTAATTTTTTTTTTTACAGAACCAAACTGTGTAACAGAAGAAGTGGTCATGGACACAGATGATTCTCGAGTGCTAAATGTACAGGAATCAGGTGAGCCTTCTGCCTCGCCAATTGGTGATCAATTTCATCCATCGTGTTTAGGCCATGACTACTCCAAAGCCTCAGTTTCTAGTACGCATACAAGAAAAAAACAAATGACTGCCGAACATAATACAACACAACAAGTGTTAATGCTGCATGAAAATCTTATAGATGTTGTACATAAAGTGCCAGCAGCCTTAAAGGACGTGGCTGCAGAAGTACATGAAGGGAACAAGTCCTTAAAGGAGGTGGTTAAAGAAGTACAGGACTTAAACAAATCCCTCAAGGATATATCCAAAGGTATATGGGAGTTGGTAGAATGTATGAAAAATAATCAGGCACTATGAAATTTATTTAAATCTTTCTAATTATAATCTCTAAAAATAGTTTAAGAAATTATAATATTTTGTAATAACAATTGTAAATAAGAACAATATTGAAACATTAAAATGTAACAATTATTCATATCATTAATTTTGCTATGACTTGCATAGTATATAGTGTAATTTAATAACCCATCTACCTCATATAGTCAACTGATGTTTGGTGAAAATATTTACATGTTTTTTGTATTAAAGAATGTTTATCAATTGCTAGGTTTAATTGTTGAGAGTTCAAAGTAGTGACAATATGAAAAAAACACCAGAATAAGAAACATTTTTATTGGCAAAAAGATTAATGGCGAAGATATAATTATTTTATCACATCCTTAATATATGTTTCACCTCAAATTGGTCTAAGGGCAACATATTGATGGCCTATATCATTGTTTTGTGTATATCATTTAAACAAAATTATATTTAATTTTTCCCTTACATGTAAGGTATATTATACACTGTACTGTATTGAAAGCAACTTTATTTTTTAATTAAAATAATTCAATTTTAAGGCCAATGCTGTGCGTGCACAGCATTGGCTAACAAACACTGTTATTTTACAAACCAAAAATTTACCCAGCCATATTATGTACCACATTTCTTAGTGTCTATGAATAAATATTTATTGATATATTTTTCACACAAATTTTTGGTCTTTTGTCAGATGCATATATTTCTCCTCAGGTATCTGACTTTCCATATAAAGTATAGCAGCATAAATAATATTTCCAAATCAGCAGGTACATGTTTGTAACAGTTTGTTTGTATATTTATGTTTCACTTACATATACAGTATGTGCTATTGAATTTAATAGGTAAAAATTGATAGGATAACTTACAAATAAATCTATGAATCCAATTATAAATGTTTTTGATTTCCGTTATTGATAAATTCTTGAGTTACTGTACTTGTATTTTTATACAAAAGTTCCATTATGTAGTGTTTTCAATTACATGTTTTACTTTGTTATATAAGTATGATTTGAAATAAAAATTTATGAGAAAAAATTCCTTACTACTTCCCTTCTTTGTGTGTGCCCATTTTCATGTGCTCCACCTTCAACATTTTCATTCATTATAAAGTCATCATCAATGATCTCTTCAAGAGGTATTCTTTGCTCAATGCAATAATTGTGCAACAACATACATGCAACTGAAATCTTTGCACATTTATCTGGTTCATATTGAAGACTACCACCAGACCTGTGGAGACACCTAAACCGAGATTTTAACACGCCAAAAGTTTTCTCGATTACCACTCTTGTTCTTGCATGGCTCCTGTTATACAGCTCTTCTGGAGGGTTTTCAGGGTTTGTGAAGGGTGTAAGTAAGTTGTGTTGCAAGGGATAGCCACTGTCACCTGCATAGATATTTAATTTATAAAATGTGCATACATCTTTAAAAATCACTCAATAATCCTAAACCCACACTGTCTTTCACACACTATTTGATTCTAGCATCTGAAGTGGTTGGTTACCTTCCTCTGTCATATGAATACCTCTTGCATTACATACATCATTCTCATTTAATGTTCAGAGGCATATAACTGACATGTCAAAACAACCAAAATGTAATCCACTTCCTTCCATATTTAACTTAATCATCCACTTGTAATCTCTGGTACACCCATGACACATGATGTATATAAACACCAGTTTAAACACATTTCTGCTGATTTCCATTCAAAATTCTCACTCTCATTCTCCATATCAGGGCTAAAACACACTTTCATTTCTTTAATATAAAATCAACATGAATAAATTTCTTTATACTATTCATAATACAATAAGCTGTTACCATTCAATATTAAACAACTTTTATTTATAGACTGTACAGTGTATTTGTTGTGACTCGATAAATAACAAATAGGCAACCTACTGTACTATAAATGAAGGTCATATATATAAAATGCATATCTTACCTAGCAAATAGGAAATGCCAAATTCTCCTGCTTCAAATCTGTCATGGAGTCTGCTGTTAGCCCATATGAAAGCATCATGAGTGCTTCCAGGGTATCTTGCACAGAAATCCATGATTACATTATCAGGATTTGACACAACTTGAATGTTCAAAGAGTGATATTGTTTTCTATTTACATATATGTTTTCTTCAACTTTTGGAGCTTTAATGGGGACATGGGTACAATCGATTGCTCCAATTACATTGGGAAACCTACTGATATTATTAAATTTTAACTTAGTTTGTATAATTTCATTCATCTCTGTTGGCATTTTTATTTCTGCTAGTCCTTTTCTGTAGAGAGCTTCCGTCACTCCAGTTATTATTCTTGATACACTCGATTGACTGAGACCAGTTGAATCTCCAATAACACTTTGGAAACTTCCACTTGCATAAAATCTCAGAGCTACTAACAATGATGTATGGGCAGGAATGGCTTGACCTCTTCTAGTTATTCTTTCAATATCATCTTTAAGGTCTTCACAAAGTCTTAAGATCATATGACGTGGAAAACGATAGTACCTTAACAATTTTTTATCACTTACATCTAATGGATTTAGACGATCTTTAAAGACTCTTTCTCTCCTTAAAGCTAGCTCATTACGTAAAGCAATAAGCAATAACATTTCAAATGTTTTTAACTGTTAAAATTGGTATTTTTTTGGATGCGTGTCCAGGAACACTATACAGTATTGGGTACCTAGGAAAAATAAAGCATATTGTAATACAGCCTGTAAGATGAAATATATATATACACACACATACTGTACATACATATTTGGGGGTGTACAGTGTGGTGCCCATGATTGTCTATTTATCCTGCCACCTTTCTTCCATCAGCCCCTTGTCCCTATTCAGTCCCCATCCCTCTCTTTTTTTTTTAACAGGCCATAATTAGAGGCCTAAGTATTCAATGACCAAAGTTTTTGTAGTTTTTACCCTAACCTAACATCATTTGTTCAGGATGTTTTTCTTTTATGTCTCACCCACATTTAATTTCAAAATAAAACCAAACAAAATAAATTAAAACTGTATATGTATAGCTAAGGTACACCCTTACTGATTACTAGGTGAACAGGGGCATTTGGTGATAGTAAATGATCCCATCAGGCAGGGCTCATCACCTTCTCTCATATTTCATGTTCACCAGTGTTTATTTACTTAATAACTACTGGTATAATATCTTGCTATTATAAAACTAATTCTAGTATCATCAAACACATATTTACTTCAAGTTTCAAGCAGAGAATGCATATATAACTAACACGAAGGATTACTCTTCACTAGATTCACCAGCTATAATATTTTGGTCATGTTCCAATATCATAAATCGATCCCAGTGTTATGTAGTAGAGAAAATATGACTTATATCCAGTTTACGTAAAGCTACGAGTGGTCGAAACCACACTTAAATCCCGAAATGAACTTACGAAGATTTTTCCACTTAGGGTAGTTAATTGAATACGGACGTAGCCGCCACGAAGGCGCTAAGACGAAAAACGCTCTTAGCTAAGAGGAAAAACCTTCGTAAGTACCTTCCTGAATCCGGCCCCAGTAGCAACTAATTAAACTACTGAATTTCTATCGTGAGCACGACGCGAACAGGTCCGCTCGAGAGCTTCTCAACACATGTATTGGCTTGCTCTCCTTCCCCGCTCCGCGTCTCGCGTTCATTAGACAAATTATTATCATGAATATTAGTATTTCTCGCAGTTGTGCTTGAAATGTTCGAGACAGGACGGGTTTATTATTTAGAAGAGTGAAATATTACTATTTGCCAGTTCAGTGATAGTAAACATATAATGGAGAGGAATTAATGTCTCTCCATGGCATTCACTTGTGACGTTAATTTTTATTGCTAGATAACTGCTATGACTCTAACGCTCTATTCGGCTTTTAATTGGAGGTCAATTTATCTGTAATTAATTATCACACAGAACGCCTTGGTTATAGAGAATCGAATTCAATTCTCAGATACATTGGATATAATGTGTTTATTGTAATGAAATCTGACGCAATACTGGCGTCGGGTGACGTGAAAATTCTAGCCTATTGCACAGATGAAATTATTAGTACATGTGAATTCTACGTTGTGTTAATTTTACTTACTACAAAGATTAGTAGCATTAGTAATAATTAATGAGAATACAACAGTGTTGTATTCGGTGTTGGAAATTTCCAACATAACTCCGGGGGGAGGATTCTTGGGTCGTAGTGTACTGTGGAGTACTGACCAATCCCGAAGTTGATATTAATATTAGTATGTTAAAATGTTAGTATATTAGTACACACATAACGAACGTCCCTTATTTATCAAGGACTTACAAGAAACTGGAGTCTTGCTAATTACATGTCAAATAAAACATGTTATTTATAGCCTACACAATAGTTAAAGATTTTAAATCACCCAATTTAAACAACAGAATCTACTGTGATGGGAATGCCCTGGGTCATAGTGACTTGTAATGGTTTGTTACTCGACATCCCATCGCAGCATCATCATAGTTATCTAAGTGGGATGTAAAGGAAATTACTCTTGTTCAGAGTTGTAACAGGCTTGCAAATTCCGCCTACATTGTTGAGCAGCAGCTCTAGTGGGGCGGTTGCTTGGAGGATCAGAATTATTGCCCTCGGAAATTACTGGGGAAACTGGATCTGGCTGATATTCTTGCTCAGTCAATTCAAGGGGAACCAGCTTCTCTAAAGTTTTTAGAGTAGTGTTGCCTCGGCATAAAACTTTAACTACTCTCAGGACACCTTGATGATCTGGATGAATGGCAACAATTTTGCCTATAGGCCACTCTGACCTTGGTCCATCACTGTCGACTAGTACTAGGTCCCCTGGTTTTAATTGCACCTTATTGTAAGGACTCGAAGCTCCGTAGTGGTACTCTCGTAGAGCTGTAAGGTACTCTCGAGTCCACACCTCATTCCACCTGTTAATAACTCTGGAGAGATGCTGGTAGCTTTCCACCAAGTCTCCTCTGGTCACATGTGACGGGTCTTCAGGGTCCTCTTCGGCTAAAGGGATGAGAGGGCTCAGTAGACCTCCATGGATCAAGTGTGAGAGACTCAGAGGTTCTCTCTGGGTGAAATCCTCAGACAGGTAGGTTATTGGGCGGTTATTGACTCGCGCCTCGATTTCCACAACAATAGTTTGGAGTTCTG